GATAGATAGATAGATAGATAGATAGAGAGAGAGAGAGAGAGAGAGAGAGAGAGAGAGAGAGAGAGAGAGAGAGAGAGAGAGAGAGTATGAGAGCATGTATGCTTATTTGTTTTTTCGTTTTTGTCTTCTTTTTTTGTGTGTGTGCATGCATGTCTGTGCATCAGCTTGTCTGTGTGCGCACACACAGAAGAGAGAGAGAGAGAGAGAGAGAGAGAGAGAGAGAGAGAGAGCATGTAGCTCAGGGTTGTGTGATGTTACAGCCTGTAGCAGGGCTGAAAGCCTCAAAATGTCTCGAAGAAGTTGAGTTGAAATCGACTGTGAGCCTGTGACATCATTCACAGCCAATTTCGACTCTTAACTTCATTGAGACATTTTCAGAATTGTTTGACAGACATAATTCACAGCCAATCTCTCAGAGGGGTAAATGACGAAACTGGCTGCGAAATTATCTGGTCCTCGCAAGTGTCGCGAACCTAAAAATAAAGTTGTGTGGTCTGGGCAGCCTTTGATATTTTCAGGCTCTCAGGCTTTCACCTGCACATTTCTTTTGGTGGCGGCGCAGTCTCTGCCCAGCCCACACAAAGTGGGCCTGCTCACCTTCGCGCACTCGTTGTTTCTTTGGCCGCATGTTCGACATGCCTTGGTGGCCAACATCCCAGCAGGGTGTGGCCAGGCAACAACCCCCTACTGTGGGGTGTCGAGTTCACTCAGATTTCTGACCTAGCAAGACACCAAACTATTTGCCTATCGGTACGACGATAATGACTTCGACGCTTGTTCGTAGTATTAATTACGTCTTCATCTCTGGCATCTTTACACCTCCTTCACACCTTTGGCGTATTGACGATCTGTCCAGCATGTTGTGCTGCACTTCGTGCCCGGAGCTGTGATGCATGCCCCCTGGCGCTTATATATATGACGAGATGAGGCTTGGCTCGAAGAGGAGCGGTCGTTTTCAGGGAATTGCTGATTTGAGAACTGTGTTGGCTGTGTGATCAGGAATATGGAGCTGGCAGGATGCTAACTGGGGAGGTGAAGAAGCGCCTTATCGAGGTCTTGACGGCGTTGGTTGGTAATCAGCAAAAGGCGCGCGCTAAGGTGACAGATGAGGTATGTCGAAACCGTGTCCGTTGTTGTTTGTCTGCTGCGGTGCGTCTGCTGTCATGTGGTTTTATTCGCTGTGTTATGCAATGTGGTCTGCTAAGTCACGTTGTCATGGATAAGGTGATACTGGATAAGTTAGGTTTATCCACACTGAATAAGCGTAGGTTAGGTTATCCACAGTGGATAAGGTTATGCACTGAGTCGCTGAGTTTCTGTGCATCACATGGGATAACACTTTATCCAGACTGGATAAGGTTATAAGTTATCCACAGTCGATAAGGGATAAGGTTAGGTTATCCACAGTGGATAAGGGATAAGGTTACCCGCTGAATCGCGGGGTTTCTCTGCACCTCATAGGATAACACCTTATCCAGAGTGGATAAGGTTCGGTTATCCAATAGTGGATAAGGTGTTATCCGCTGATTCTTTGTGCCGAGGATAAGGTGAGACAATGGGCTGTGCTAAGTTATAGTCTCAAGGGTGAGGCCAGTTCCTGTGTTTCGCTGTCGAACTCCTTGATTTACTGTGCGTTGCTGAGATTCTGAGTTACTATGTGAGTTACTGTCCTTTGCCGAGTTACTATGTGAGTTACTATGTGTGACTTACTATGTGAGTTACTATGTGAGTTACTATGTGAGTTACTATGGAGTTACTATGGGAGTAACTGTTAGTGTCCTTTGCTGAGTTGCTGAGTTACTATGTGAGTTACTATGTGTGAGTTACTATGTGTGAGTTACTATGTGGGTTACTATGTGAGTTACTATGTGAGTTACTATGTGATTTACTCCGTGATTTACTATGTGAGTTGCTGAGTTACTATGTGAGTTACTATGTGATTTACTCCGTGATTTACTATGTGAGTTGCTGAGTTACTATGTGAATGATGACATGAGTTACTGTCCTCTGCTGCAGGCGGCTCTGCAGAGCCCTGCTGTCAGAAATGAGATCAGTCGGTCACTCTCCTTGCATAAGGTGTACTGTGCGCTCTACCGTGCAAAGTCCTCTGCATGGGCACGCACTGCGACCCTGACGTGCTCTGGGAGATGCGGTGTCTGTTACAGTAGGCAACGGCACAGGGGCCTGCTCAGTGCGCTGTGTGTGCACAGGACATGTCAGTAGGGGTTCCGGGCAGTAGGTGTGTCCAGTCCCCGCATGATCCTGATCCATGAGAGGTGCTTTCTGTCCAGCCATTTTGCTAATTCACCCTTCTCTGTATC